GCCTAAAAAACGATCTTATTAAGCTTACCACGAGCATAATACAAGTTCGCCACAAACTTAAATTTGTATAGGGGGTGTTCCAGTGTTTGATGATGAAGATGTGATGACTGTTGTCCCATTTAATGATTTGTTTGTGTTATTGGGTGTGTTTGACGATGGCGGACTTGTCCCAATGACTGAGTCTGAAGCTGGTTTTGTGTTCCTTGAGTCGTGTTTCTAGATTTCTCCCAGTTTCGCCAACCTAGACTTTTCCACATTCGCATGGTATCTTGTAGACTCCGGCTTTCTTGTGGTGTGGATGCTTGTCTTTTTGGGAGTAAAGTATTGAGTGAAGTTTGTTGGAAGAGCTGTGCCGTACTTGGATGTCTGCTGCTTGAAGGATGCATTTATTATTGTGGGAGGCTTGACCAATATAGGGTAGAACAACTGTTAGCTTTGGTGATGTAGCTGCTGGTTGGTTCTCTTCAGGGGTGGTGTTGGCTGCAGGCTTGCTGGCTGGAATCCCTGTCTTGATCTTTAGATAAGGTATTTGTTGATGGTAGTGAGAGCTGTGGTGACGTGCTGGATTTCCCGTTCTAAATGATTGGTGTCGCTGAAGGTGTTGGGGACTGAATGTAGTACAGCTGGATGGTGGAAGGATCTGTAGTGAAGATATCTCTCAGTGTGTGTGTGTTTTCTGTAGACTTGGTTAGCGGGCTTGCCGGATGGCAATCTGGTGACGAGGACGTCTAGGAAGGGGATGCTGTTGTTTTGCTCGGTCTCCATGGTGAATTTGATGCTCGGGTGGTGCTGGTTGATGTGGGCGAGGAAGTGGTCTAAGTTATGTCTTTTGTGGGGCCAGATGATGGTCAACGTATCGGAGCCAGAGAGAAGGACGATGTGAGAATGTCTGTAGTGCTGTTTTTTCAAAGTGTTCCATGAAGATGTTGACTATAACAGGTGAAAGTGCATGGTGATCCCATGGCTGCACCTTGTAGTTGCTGGTATTGTGCTTGTCTCTATATTTGAAGGATGTTGAGTTGAGGCAGAAGTTGATGAGGTCATGTATTTGATCCGGTGTGAGGTTGGTTCATCAATGATTTTAATGGCATATTATAGTTAGAAGAACTGGTAAGAGACATAAAACTATGTAATCAATTTGTGTTACCTTCAAAAAGCTAAGGCATCTATATTGCAGATTTTATACTGAATTTATGGCAAAGGCATACATAGCAGGTAAGGCTGCGACGGGTAGTCGAATGCTCGAGTACCCGCACGGTTGACAACTACTCGGGTACGATTTCTTGTACCCGAATATTCGGCCGCAAAAAAAAAAAAAAAAAAAAAATGTCCAGGCCAGCGCTTACCCGTGCCAGGGAGAGCGGCGTCCGCTGGCATGGTACCGTCGGTAAAAATGTTTCCCAACTCAAGCACTGTCAAACTCACCTTTCAGAAACTGGGACCAAATGTCCAGATTTCTGTTTGGACTTGGAGGAAAATGGATTATTCTGCCATCTTTGGTTTTTAAAACAGCATTGTTTACTGTTATTATTCTTATTAAATTGGCGCCTTCAACTGCAACTCAAAGTAAAGTTGCATGCGTTTTCAGCGAGGGACCTGAGAAACTGCCGAGTGGTATGGTAGTGGCAAAAAAATTAAAAAAATTAAAAAAAATCCAAAAATCCAAAAATTCAAAAAAAAATCAAAAAAATTCAAAAAAATTCAAAAAAATTCAAAAAAATTCAAAAAAATTATAAAAAAACATGGCGTCCGAATATTCGAGTATTCGCCTGCGAGCCTGGGAGTGTACTCGGGTACCTCATTACACTGTTGTGCACAGCCCTAATAGCAGGCCCAACTGCATTTGCCATGTTTTTTTCTATGGTATTTCCATTCCTCACCAATATAAAAACGAATGGAAAAGTTCACAAAATACTTTCCATCTTTACAAGAACTTGATCTTTTGTTTAAACATGTACATTTACTCATTTGTAGTAAATTGACTTGAGCACATATTATCGTTAGGCTTGGATTGCAGTCTCTTACAAAGTGTCACAGAGTTTGTTCAAGGACATTTCTTAGATGTCCCATAGAGAAGGTACTGGCAGTAGGTACCTCGCCAATTGTGGAAGGTCTACTTGCACAGTGAAATCAAACTTCTTGTAACATCTTAGCTTAGTAGGCACTTCCACAGGCTCTCTCTGGAGGACAATGACCTTTTCTGTGTTTTTAGCCTGTAAACACTGGGCTATTTCAGTTGTTACATTTTTTATTCCATCAAAGCCGTGGCTTAAAACAATGAGAATCTTGGCAGAGTTCTCCATTGCCATGGCCTTTGATTCATGTTCCAGTGCCCCAAGTCTTGAGTCTCTCTGATGGTAGTAGCCTTGTAAGGCAAAGAACTTGCATTCAAGACCTTTTAGCAGTGAATACTTTATCCAGCCTCTTATCTCAGGGTCGTTTCCCTCATGAAGAATGTAGAAGTCAAAGTCGACACCCAATGTCAGTGGGCGATCATTAGGTACATCATCTTCTTGAATTGCTGTTGGTTCAGGATCTTGCTTTTGTGAAAGACTAGGGTTCCTCTTCTCACCAAGGTTGCACAGTCTTATTTTAAAGTTCTCATCTCGTATTCCTATGTAATTTTCTTTCATGACTTCTTTGAAAATCTTTATCATTTCTTGTGCTGGAGTTGACTGGTCAAAATCATGTCGGCTGCTGTATTCCAGTATATCCAAGATCTCAGGAGCATATTCCTTGGAAAGCCCTTTGATGTATTTCCATGAAGCCTGGCATGATTTATGGATGTACATAAACCAAAATGCAACCTCCCCAATCCGTTGCTGTGGCCTGCCAAGGTCATTGTAGTATCGTAACATGGCCTTCAACAGATTTAATGCTAGATTTGCACAATAGCCTTCCCCAGTCCCTGTGGTGTCGAAAGCAATTTTGAATGACTCGATTGCTGATGGCAGGTCTTCCCCATCTTGAAGACACTCTGCCCACTTGAGATAGATGTCTGAGGAAGTAGAACCATCCTGTGAGACTGATGCCTCATAGAATCTATCAAGTGCTATGTTTCTGAGATGATCAACCTCGTTCGGTGGGGTCAGTGGATGCTTGGCGAGCAAATGGTTAACTTCACCTGCCAATGCAAGATTCATGGGGGTTTGAGTTAATTCCAATGCTCTGTTTGCATCTAATTGCGCTTTCTCAAGAAACAAATAGGCATCTTCACTTTGAATGCGAATTGTTTGGCTTTCTTGATGTACGTCTTGGCTCTGTGGCACAAAGCATTCCAGGAGGAATTTCTCTGTGGGTCCTCAGGTGGAAGTACGTCGGTAGCATCAATGCATCGGGTTAACACTTCCAAAGCACCATCGTAATCAAGCTGCTTGAAGAGGCAAATTCCTTTACGACCCAAAAACCACAGGTTGTCGGGATCGATTTCTAAAGCCTTTTTGTAGCATATCAGTGGATCTTTCCAGGCTTCTTTGTAGCATTCCTCATCAAGTTTAGGAGGAACAAATACTTCACAGCCCTTATTTCGAGTAAACATGTTCCCAAACGTGAGCCATATCTCTGCCTGGTACAGTGCATTTTCATCAGACATTTGGAGGGCTTCATGTAGATTTTCTATTGCCTTCCCTATGGAATCCACGCATAGATCTTGTTTACTAGCTCTGAAAGCAGCATGGCAAAACTTTTCATATGCCTTACCAGTGTACAGAAGCCAATCTCTCTTCTCCTTTTGGCCTATAAGACCCTTAGCCATTTTAAGTGCCGCCTCGTAGCAATTAACTTGTTCTTGAGGCAGGTTGATCCCTTTCCAGGATTGTGTATGCAGATCTTGAGATAGAGCATAACCCTGTTCAGCCTGGCACCTAGCAAACATCATCCGCTTCTCATCAGGGCTTGCATCTTGTATTGTGTTCCTCAGCTGTGCTTCATACTCCTGTGCCTTCCGGTTGTAGCGTAGTTTTTGGTATGCCAGTGTTATGTCCTGTAGTGCATTAAGATTTGTTTTATCTGATGCTAATGTGTCTTGCCATATCTTGATTGCCTCACTTTTCTTGTACGAGTGGTAGAGCATCACACCTTAAAGTAAACATAAAAATACATAAATACATAAATAAACCTGCCCCCAAAAGTGGGAAAATTGAGTATGACTGAAAATATCTCTTGCATTACTAGATTATTATCCTTTACTTTGATATCAATCGAAACTGCATATTTTCCTACCCGTATTTCCCTTGAGGTGTCGTAGTCAAGTGGTCTAATAATTTGACTAGAAATTCAAAGGTCTAGGGTTCAATCCCTGGCATGGCACTTATGTCGTTGGGCTAGGCATTTTATCGGAATTGCTCCTCTCCACCCAAGTGTTATACGGGGACCAGGTAGGATGTAGGTCAATGTGATTGAATTAGCATGTGCACACACATAAACAGAGCGACTTGCTGGAATGCTTCCCAAGGAAGTGGAGAGTGTGCACTGTAGAGTGCAAAATCATAACAGAATCCAGTGACCGGAGTTGTTATACTGAAAGCACTTTGTATGGTTACGTTATAACTATAACTCTTGTAAATATCTCACCTTTGACATTTCGGGCAGCATTGCAGAACTCTTCACTGTAAATGTTACTTTGAAGGATATTGTCTTGGGTTTGAATGGTAGATTCCATCGTCTTTTCTTCCACTCGGGTGATTTGTCCCTTGTTGATTGCCAGCTTTCGGAATGTAAGAAGACCAGGGTTGGGCCGGTTAGGTTCAGCTAAAGCATGCGCCTTCGCATCGGACGGTTCTCCCTGATAACTTGCCATTGTTTGAGATGGATCTAGCAGTTTGCATGAAATAAAATTGATGATTATGAACTAGTTGCATATTTCAATAGAACTTGAACTTGTATTTAACAAAGGACCCCAAAGGAACTTTGACCTAAGCATGTGATTCTTGATAGCACCATAACTTAAAGATCCCCCAAGTACATCTCAGATCAAAGTGTATATTGACACAATAGGATTAATGGTTGCCAGATTATTTGTAGCAACAAGTCTTGTGGGTTAACTCTAACAAATGACCTTAGTGTCCTTTGACCTCATACATGTGACCCTTAACACCATATTAAAATAACCCCAAGTGCATCTCTGACAACATTTAGTTTACATTAGGATCAACTGTTGCCAAGTTATTTGTCATAAGAAAGTCTTGCAGGTAAACTTATTTTAACATTTGTGATGGACAACAGATGCCATTTTAATCTCTTTGTCTGGTAAGTGAGACAATAGCTAGTCTTGAAAATCACTATGTAGTGATACCAAACATATCTAGATCTTGCATATCAGTTTTGAGTTGGTAATTAAGCCATACGTATTAACTAGTTGTGAATATCAGTTGGTAAGGAAACAAAAATATAAGCAATCGTGAATATAAGTCGGTAATGATACTAAAACATAACTTGTCTTGCGTATCAATTGGTTTGGATACCAGACCATAACTAGTCAAAAGTATAAGTCAGTAAGAACACTGAAACATGACCTCATCAACAAGTATCCGGTCACTCCTCCTCCACCACCGCCTCCACCACCGCCTCCACCACCACCTTCACCACCCCCGCTGACACCCGTACATCAACCACCGCAACCCGCCGAACCCTCAAAGCAGCCGCCAGCCCCACAGCTACAATGCACAGCAGACGACAGCAGACTACATCTCCCCCAAGTTGGCAACCCGGAGAATCCAGCCCAGATGCACAAGCAGACCACCCATGTCCACTCCCCGATGACTCAAGCTCACACGGTCATGTATATTTCCCCCATGTCCGCACCACGGTGACTTAAGCTCACGCACGCCGGATATTCTCCACTCCTGACGACGGATAATCAACCTGTTCAAAACGTTGAGCCACTCCCGCCACCCATCCTCTCCAAGCGCTATAGTTCTCCTTAGAACTATTAGCTAAGAAAGATAACCAACAGTCTTTTTCAAGACTACACCAACAGTCCTTTTCAGGACTACACACCCTCAAGAAAGATTACCGAGAGTCATTTTTTAGGACTCCTCAATCCTCCCTCTCTGTCACATGGTGCACCCGTGAGCCTACTGTATATGACTAGTCTTGAATATCAGTTGGTAAGAGCACTAAAACATAACTAGTCTCGAATAATAATATCAGGCACAGCGGAGCACCCCAATTACCGTGCGATCGACTCTCGTCCAGTAAACATCATTTGCATAAAATGAACAATTGTGTATCGATCGATGCGAAAAAAAGTAAACAAATTTCGAAGACAAATTCTTCATTAACGTGATGAATATCAGCAATCAAAGCTACTAAATCGAGTATTTAATAAATTTGCAAGACACTCATGTGTTGATGCACCGAAAATGTGAAATTTAAGGGATAGTTTTGACGAACAAAAACAAAAAAAAATGAGATACAAAATCACCGTAAAATTCACCATTTTCTTTAGAGCGAGAAAGAATTGCCTCATATGAACAGAAAGAAAATTTAATAATCTCAATCCTTCTGAAATATCTCTTTCTATAGTTGCTAGATAGGGTCGTGTCAGAGCAAAACATACCCCAATGTCCGAATCTCATCGAACAAAAACAATCCTTCGTTGTCGCAAAATTGTATGACCAGTCCCATACATTCAAATGTGTGTCATGTCTGAACCTCGCGTGTGCGTTGGCTATACATGTCTGGCCAGCCGACTGCACACGTGCACGCTAATGGCTCAGCTGTTTCGATCTGGCCTGCACTGGGCCCTAAAACGCATGCGCAGTACATCGCTGAGATCGATGACGTCATGTTCAATGCGTTCGCTGACTACAACTTTTACAAATGAAGCCCCATGAAAAAAAACGTTATAACTATAAAAAAAATACAGCGGAGAAGCGAAAACTTCGTCCATGTATGGATTCAACACTCATGAATATTCATACCAAGTCTCTACTTCGTGCATTGCTTGATAGGGTCATGTCACAACAAAATATACGTCGTGTTTATCGAGGGGTGAAGCTCAAAACACATTAATATCTCGAGTTTTATTCCATGGAATTTCATATTTATTTCATTGATGTCAAGTTCATAATAATTGTAGTTAGTATGGAAAGTTTCATAGCGATATTGGCAGTAATAAAGGCGCAACACAAATTTTAAGATTAGACATTCTAGCAAACACATGTTTCGATTCATGCAGATGTCCGTTGGTTATTCAAATAGAATGGGCCGCTAATGATATGCAAATTGGGGTGCTTCGCTGTGCCTGATATCAGTCAGTTAAAAGAAATAACTAGTCTTGAAAACCAGTCTGTGCTTTTACTTTGAAATAACTAGTACGATTACTGATATTCAAGACTTCATATTGCACAAACACTTGATATGTAAGTTTCATGTCAATATACACTATTTCCGCAAAATTAAAGTGACCTGGTAACAACTAACATTGCCTCAGTTTCTGAAACAAAATCCTTGATTTAGCTCATGCTGCAATCATAATTATAATCCTTTAGGTCAGTCAGGATTATCAAGCCTGTCTGATTATCAAGATATTTATGATTGAAAATCGAAATCAAATTTTGTGTTTTCCTAACGGTTTTATAACAAATACAGTATTTTGGGGGAAACTAGTATGGTAAAACCAGTCACTCAAAGATTTTTAATTTTTGAGGCACTTCATGATCATTTTGAAGTGCAATTTTTTTAAGGGTTCAATATTATACCATATCACAGACACTGATAACACGTAGGGCCATATAATTTGAAAATAAAGTAAAAAGAAATAAAAAATTAGTACAAAAAATAGAATCAAATTTTTCATGATTTTGCATCTAAGTACCAGACTTTCAAAATTCAATTGCCCCACATTGGCCCGAATTCACAACAGTGGTACAAAACCCCCCGGGGGTTTAAACCCCCCCCCTAGGTTTCTGAAACCATGGTTTAAACCCCCGGGGGGTTTAAACCTCTCTCTGATTCACCAACGATAGTTTCAATTGTACCATGGTACAATCCATGGTTTAAACCCCCTGGGGGTTTAAACCATGGTACAATCCTAGACCATGGATTGTACCATGGATTGTACCATGGTTTCTTTCTACTGAGCATGCTCAGTAGATCAGATGCTGTCTGCTACATCTAAAAATGGAGGGTGATGCAGCTACTGTGTGTGCAGGGAGGGAGAGGACGAAAGGCAACTGGCAAGTGGGAGAGAGAAACTTCCTGATAGAGATGATAAGCCAGAGGAAGGGTATATTACTGTCTAGAAAGACTGATTATCTTACAAACTCAAACAAAGCTGGTGCTTGGGAGGCTTTGGTTGAAGCCTTCCATGCAAAGTTTGGAAGGAGATGGAGTTGCACCCAGATAAAGGATCAATGGAAAAGGATCCGGATTAACGCGAAGAAAGAGTATTCTAACTATACTAGAGAGAGTAGGAAGACAGGAGGAGGGCCACCTCCACCTGAACCCAGCAACCTCACCATCATAGTTAAGGAACTTTGCCCGTATGATTTTGTACAGCTCAGGAATAGATTCGATGATGACAACAACCAGGACCAAGAAAACATCATCGCCATAAATTCCCTGACGTCAATAGCAACTGGCCGTAATGAGTAAGTAACTAATGTTAGATCTGTATAGACTACTTGGGTGTAGAGACTGGAAGCTTAGCTTATTTTCCCTCTTTACTGATCCTTCCCATCTCAATTATGGTTCAAACTTAATTAAGATTGTTTCTCCAATACCATTCTAGGCTAGGCCTAGGCTAGATCTAATAAATGAATAATTGGTGGCAGCATTGACCAGTTCTTTACTACTTTAGGGAAGGCCATTCCAATCATTTACACTCATTATTGAGAAACTAAATAGTATAGACTCTACTGCCCAAGTCTTGTATTGAAACGTTGTTTGACTACCTAGAAATGATGGCCTCTTGTTATTGAGCCAGTGGATAGTTGGAAGAATTTTGAGGGATTTGCTCTGTCGAAGCCGCTCAGGATATCAAATTCAATTCAGCTCTTTCTCTGTTGGCTAGATTGAGATTTTTTATGTGCAAATATAACAAATAAAACCACTAAAATCGCTAAAAATGTATCATTCATTGCAAGATGAATAACATAAGATGCTATATAACACCTTACATTTACTAGATGGAATGAAATAAAACAGTAAACATCGAACAAGTCACGATCGTCTGCTCATCGTCACTCGTCCGAGATCAGTCCCATCCGTAGAAATTAATGTCATGAAATTGAAGCAACACCCTAGATCTAGTAATATGCCTAACGTTTAGCTGGCCGAGAAGACTCCGCACGCCTCGGCTTGTTGTTCACAGACATCACTTGCGACGTAGGGGTTACTAGCATCTAAAAGTTGGCCTGAATAGCCTCAAATAAGTAAAATTCCAATTTTCGTTGAAAGCATAATGAATTGATCATTAAATATGTTCATTGAACTACTTACAATCAGTGATGAAACTAATTTTATATGAAAAAATATCCGTCGGAATGGAGCGAACCGGCCTCGACTAAAGTATTCTGTTAGAAGTTCCACAACTTTTTTGTGAATGGATTTTCTTGACGTGACATGCGCAGTAAATTACGTTGGTTTTTTTTTAACCGTCATGTTTGTTCTTGAAATAAAAAAATTATTAAAAATCATCGAATCCGAGGTAGATTTGAACTTATCACTTGCCTACCAATGTCCACACAAAAGTTTTATTTTTTTAAAGAAAAAATTACATCTACATTAAAAAACAAACATACAAACAAACATTCTGTTTGCCGATCGAGTTGGCGTTTGAAGAAAAAAAAAGGACTAACGTCTGAACGTTACATTTCTTTATATGGCAAGCCAGATAGTGAAATATTAAAGCAGAAGTAACCCCCATCCCCAAACATGACCAATTGTCTATCGTTTGGTTCTAGAGTCTACCTGTACTTATTTTTTTATTTTTTTATGACAGATTCTCATTAATTGTTTTACACTGTAAATATTCCTTAAAGTTAAGCTTGTAAATGTTTAGTCTTACATGTATTGTTCACTACATTCTTTTTTAATGAAAAATGTAATCCTCTAGGGCGATTCTTTATCAAACAATAAAAATGATAGTGTTAATTCACAATGATGCCACTCCCCCCCCCCCCAAAAAAAAACAACAACAACAAACAAACAAACAAATAAAAATATATCCATACAGAAACCACTTTCAAACAGTTGTCTAAATCTCTTATCAATTTTGTTGATACTAAAAGTACATGATTAGTAGGTATGTATTTCTTGTTTCTTTTGATAGAATTAATAGAATGAAAGAATTTCAATTTTTTTTGTTGTTGTTGGTGGGGGCGAGGGGGGGGGGGGGGGGTTAAAGCCGCAAATTATCTTTTCAGCTAAATGAAATGAAGAGAAATAGGTTCTTAACAATTTGCCTTTTTTTTTTTTAGAATGACATGATTGTTAAAAATATCTGTCATGTTCTCATATATCGAGGACTCCTCGACCCTCAAGGGAAAGAGCACGACGGTATTGATACTTCATATCCACCACTCCAGAAATCATAAGTCCTCTCAGTTACCATACATAATCCACCATAATAAAATGTAATCCATTCGATGTTACAATTGTGAATGTTAGATAATAAATTACATTTCATAATGTCAGAAAAGACGGAATTCCATATTCGTTTTTTAATTTCCAAAAAATAGAGATGATTGATACTGGAATTTCTTTCCCCCTCCCCTTTTTTTTTTTTTTTAAAGGAGTGGGGGGGGGGGGGTACCAAAACATCCAGGGTGAATGAAAGGTTACCTATTATACATAAGATAGTTGTACGATCAAGGAACAAAAACAAATATTTAACTTAATTTGGGCAAAACTTGGACTTAGGTTATTTTTCATTCAGGATTTTTTCTTCTTTTTCTGTTAATAAAAAGAGTTACTTTTCTCACATTCTCAGGTCAAGATCAACACCAACAAACACAGGACTGTCAACAGGATCATTTCTCGAACCAAGGTATTGAAGAGTACGGCATTATAAAATCAAAAATACATTTTTCAAAATAATGTCCTTTTTATTAAGAAATTTTAATACATATATATATATACATTGCAGTAATATTTTCTACTTGGGTAATGTACAATCATGTTTCTTTGATAATACTATATGAAACCAGTAGGGCATACATTTTTTTCCTAATGTAGTACTCTTTTAACATAACGAAATTGGATTATTTGCAGTATTATTTTTGTATATATAAACAGGTCTTCAAGTTCATGCATAACTACAAAAAATTGTATTTGTTATTCCAATAGGACAACCTCATCCGAAGTTATGTTCGAAGGTCTCGCCTCCCAGCCTAGTACATCTACAGCGACCCCACGATCCCTTTCAAGGTATCCATAACTATACAATATTGAGTAATTTATTATTAAAAAAAAAAAAAACTTGTTATTCCTTCCTACATAACAATCATAATTTACCAAACATTGTTTTATTAATTAAAGTGTATTACATTTTGCATGAAATTAGGATCAGTAGTTTCAATACTGAAGACATTAATAAATTAAACCTGAATTCCAAAGTAAAATTCTTGCAACATTGTTCAAGTTCATGCATAACTACAAAAAATATTTTATTTCTTATCCCAATAGGACAACCTCATCCGAAGTTATGTCCGAAGGTCTCGCCTCCCAGCCTAGTACATCTACAGCGACCCCACGATCCCTTTCAAGGTATCCATAACTATACAATCTTGAGTAGTTTATTATTAAAAAAAGAAAAAAACTTGTTATTCCTTCCTACATAACAATTATGATTTACCAAACATTGTTTTATCAATTAAAGTGTATTACATTTTGCATGAAATTAGGATCAGTAGTTTCAATACTGAAGACATTAATAAATTAAACCTGAATTCCAAAGTAAAATTCTTGCAACATTGTTCAAGTTCATGCATAACTACAAAAAATATTTTATTTTTTATCCCAATAGGACAACCTCATCCGAAGTTATGTCCGAAGGTCTCGCCTCCCAGCCTAGTACATCTACAGCGACCCCACGATCCCTTTCAAGGTATCCATAACTATACAATATTGAGTAATTTATTCTTTAAAAAAAAAAAACTTGTTATTCCTTCCTACATAACAATTATGATTTACCAAACATTGTTTTATCAATTAAAGTGTATTACATTTTGCATGAAATTAGGATCAGTAGTTTCAATACTGAAGACATTAATAAATTAAACCTGAATTCCAAAGTAAAATTCTTGCAACATTGTTCAAGTTCATGCATAACTACAAAAAATATTTTATTTTTTATCCCAATAGGACAACCTCATCCGAAGTTATGTCCGAAGGTCTCGCCTCCCAGCCTAGTACATCTACAGCGACCCCACGATCCCTTTCAAGGTATCCATAACTATACAATATTGAGTAATTTATTATTTAAAAAAAACAAACTTGTTATTCCTTCCTACATAACAATTATGATTTACCAAACATTGTTTTATCAATTAAAATGTATTACATTTTGCATGAAATTAGGATCAGTAGTTTCAATACTGAAGACATTAATAAATTAAACCTGAATTCCAAAGTAAAATTCTTGCAACATTGTTCAAGTTCATACATAACTACAAAAAATATTTTATTTTTTATCCCAATAGGACAACCTCATCCGAAGTTATGTCCGAAGGTCTCGCCTCCCAGCCTAGTACATCTACAGCGACCCCACGATCCCTTTCAAGGTATCCATAACTATACAATATTGAGTAATTTATTCTTTAAAAAAAAACAACTTGTTATTCCTTCCTACATAACAATTATGATTTACCAAACATTGTTTAATCAATTAAAGTGTAATACATTTTGCATAAAATTATCTTGTCTATTATATGCACAAAACTCTTTTTAATTTTTTTTTTTAGCAGACAGCTACTACATATCTTTCAAAAGCTTTCAATATCTGTGACAATCAAGGTTTAAGCCATGTTCGTTATATTTACAACAAATTAAATGTAGTAATATATGCAACGATTAACATGTATCAAATTATTCTGAATGTGAACCATACAGCAATACAGAAATCAACACTGCTCTTCTGAGGACTCCTGCTGCTAAGCGAGCATTGAGTTACAACTCTCAAAACAAGAAATGTCGGTTAGCAGAGGATAGGATGGTTGAATTGGCAGAGGAGGAGCATGCCGTAAGGCTGGACATTTTATGGAAAGAACACAATTTAAAAATAAAAGAGCATGAACTGCGTATGGAAATTATCAAAATAGAGAAACAGGTTGCTGAAGCCAAACTGCTTGAAGCACAGGGTAATACATCTCATCTAACTAATTAATCAAAAATAATTTAAGCTGTTCTGTTAAACATGTTTAATTCTACATTTAAGATATATCGTTCACATATTGATTTTTAGCCTGATTCAAATATTTCTTGCACTTCAATTGTAATTGCTAATGTAATTATTAATATAAACATGTCTTTAAATGGACAGCAACAATGTATGATGTGTGATTAATAGGCAAAAGTTGTTGTTCAATGTAGTGCCATATTGATCACAAACATTTATTTGATTTCAAATGTTTTGTGCACTTAAAATGCAATTACAATATAAACATGGTCTTTCAAATGAACAGCTGCAAAGTAGGATCTGTTTGACTCTGCAAAGGTTTTCTGTTCAACATAGTGCTACATTGATCACAAACTGATTTAACATGTGATTTTCAAATGTTTCTTGCACATAAATGCCATTGCCAATGTAAATATAAAGTATATATGAACATGTCTTCGAATGAACAGCTGCAAAGTAAGATCTGTTTGACTCTGCAAAGGTTTTCTGTTCAACATAGTGCTACATTGATCATAAACTGATTTAACACGTGATTATCAAATGTTTCTTGCACATAAATGCCATTGCCAATGTAAATATATATGAACATGTCTTCAAATGAACAGCTGCAAAGTAGGATCTGTTTGACTCTGTAAAGGTTTTCTGTTCAACATAGTGCTACATTGATCACAAACTGATTTAACATGTGATTTTCAAATGTTTCTTGCACATAAATGCCATTGCCAATGTAAATATAAAGTATATATGAACATGTCTTCGAATGAACAGCTGCAAAGTAAGATCTGTTTGACTCTGCAAAGGTTTTCTGTTCAACATAGTGCTACATTGATCATAAACTGATTTAACACGTGATTATCAAATGTTTCTTGCACATAAATGCCATTGCCAATGTAAATATATATGAACATGTCTTCAAATGAACAGCTGCAAAGTAGGATCTGTTTGACTCTGCAAAGGTTTTCTGTTCAACATAGTGCTACATTGATCACAAACTGATTTAACATGTGATTTTCAAATGTTTCTTGCACATAAATGCCATTGCCAATGTAAATATAAAGTATATATGAACATGTCTTCGAATGAACAGCTGCAAAGTAAGATCTGTTTGACTCTGCAAAGGTTTTCTGTTCAACATAGTGCTACATTGATCACAAACTGATTTAACATGTGATTTTCAAATGTTTCTTGCACATAAATGCCATTCAATACTTTGGAATTACACTGTACATATAGCAATAAATTACAACTCTCCATCGTTTTAAATTTTTGTTCTGCCTTTCTATTATTTCACTAAATTGCTACCTACAAAAACTGACACAAAGTAACACGTTCGAGCAATTTATTTATTTTTTGGGTAATAATTAAGATCTAACATATGGCATAAAATATCTGTAATAGTAGTGACAGCAATTCACAATGAAAATTTGGTGGTATTGGCTCCAAATATTATTAATTTGAATTTTACGAGAATGAAGCGAACAGTATATTACTTCATCAACATGCTTGAGGATATTCTTAAGAGAAACACAAAGAAAAATACTCCATTAAATAACAGGTAGTGACAGCTACAGGTTCGACACCATGATGACGAGGCATCAATACCACAGTCATGTAAATCATCTAAGATGGTAAGAAAACTAGTGCAAGAAGGATGATGCAATCCCGAGGTTAAAAACATTGACAGAAGAAATTGAAACAAGTCAACAAACAATTTTACTAGTACTACAGGTAACCAGGAGTGCTAGGTGTACCGATGAGATATGTTTAGATCAGGAATCGGTGGTAGGAAACAGCCAAATTACTTCTTCACAGGAATCACAGGATACCGCTTTATGCAAAAGTTGTTTGTTTTGCAGTGCTGCATACAGCTAAACTTACATTCTTAATTACATTCTAGAGTAGTAGGAGAATGCCAGTATTGGAACGCCATAGATATTAATCAAAACCTGTTCAAATTCTGGTCTCCACACTGTCAGGTTTTTAACCTTAATCAGGCCACTAGCAGAATTTGTCCCCACTCTTCATGTTTTGCAAAAAAGCTCTGTTTTCATGTCATTTTTTTTCTCATTTTTTTGCCATCGTTTTAAATGATTGAAATGTTAAGCGAAAAGTTTAAGTTTGATGTAATTTGCGACAAAAAATATAAGCTTTTATTTATTGTCAATATTTTGAAATTTCATGTACAAATTTGGAGTTACATGTCTGATCAAATATTCCAAAAAATGAATAGGCATGCATAATGCATACTAATTTTTGTTCTCATTCAAATAACATGAATATTACACAGATGACCCATAAACAAAATATGCATTTGCGAATTTTAATTTAGCGATTAGGAGCAAAAGGATCCTATTTTGTTTGTAATACAAACAAAATAGCCAAGACCCCCCCCCCCCTTAGAAAAAAAGACCTGACTATGATGTAGAATGTAATCGAGTTGCAAATGTAGTTGCATAAAACCCTGCATGCTGGAAAAATAACAAGTACCTTGTCAGCATCACAATTCCCGGATTTCCTCTGCAGGAACTGAAATAACCGCTGGAGGCAGAGCAGATAGTTCTGAGTGGCTACTTTAATTTAACAGTCAGACCGCTGCACGCTCGCTAATTAGCATATCATGCGTAAGTTATTGTGCGTCTCAAAACAGCTTGAGCAATAATATCCACAAACTAGAAGTTACAATATCGTGCAAGAATATTGCAGGGGATGATGTAGACTCCATTTGCGGAAGTCGATCTCCAGAATATTTCCTTTCAAATGATATGAAATGTTGATATATTTTTGCGAAATGGACGTTTTTACAGCATCACGTAATGAAGTCTCATTATTAAAATTTTATAAATTTCTCATTTATGAATATTGCAGGGGATGATGTAGACTCCCATTTTCTCGCGCATGCGCAGTTTTTTGAGCAGCCATGTTTAAAATGCCCAAAAGAGCCCCCGAAAGTCATAAAAGAGCCCCCAAAATTTGCATAGAGTTCAATGCAAAACAAATTAAAGGGATCGTTTAACAATGTTAAATCTGATATACACGGCCCTACGTGTTATCAGTGTCTGTGATAGGGTGTAATATTGAAGCCCTAAAAAAATTGCGCTTCAAAATGATCAAGAAGTGCCTCAAAAAGTAAAAATCTTTGAGTGACCGGTTTTACCATACTCGCTTTCCCCAATAGACTGTAGTGTTATGAAACCGTCAGGCGAACGGTTTTCAAAATTTGTTATTCCAATCATAAATATCTTGATATTCAGACAGGCGATCGGCTTGTAAAAGTCATGGGGTTCCTGACTGACCTAAAGGTTTATAATTATCATTGCATCATGAGCTAAATCCAGAATTTTGATTCAGAATCTGAGACAAAAAAAGTTAACGGATCCCTTTAAAGAGTGTTATTTTCATGCAAGCAAGCTTGAAAAGTAGCCCCCAAAATTCGAGTCAACAAATTACCTGATCTTCACACCATACAAAGAGTGATGTCTAAATTCTCAGAAATAGGGAAAAGGTACTGGTAAGCTTGTACTCGATGACAAAGTATTTCATAAGGTAGTCCAGTTTATATTTCATTCAGATTAATGAAAGAGCAGTTTTTCCTCTTCAATTTGACTATCATTCATGCAAAATGATCAACAAGAAACCATTTTGTATAGGTAGAAACATGTCTGTGTTATTGCATATGCATAATAACCGGGCATGGTGGCTCAGTCGTTAAAGCGCCCGTCTCATGAACGGGAGGTCGTGGGTTCGAACCCCGGCCGAGTCATACCAAAGACTTATAACAATGGGACCTTCTGCCTTCTAGCTAGGCGCTCAGCATATTAGATTGGAGAAGGGTAGTAATAACATATTATGTTATGCAGGGCCCGCTGGAAGATCAGTTTCATAACTGAAGTGGCTACCCTGGGTAAATAAAAGTTATTATTATTATTATTATTATTGACCGCTGGGCTTGCATACAACTACGATAAATACAGGCTCTTTTTTTTGCAGCAGCGTACTGACTGTTAATGGGTGAAGTGATCCTCAATGATCTGATCTCTCCTTAACCTACCAGCGACAGCGTCATGGAGGCCAGGAGGAAGGTGGACAAGTGGCATCTCATCGGGCTCAGGTCCTGGAATATCTTGCTCGCGGCGGTCGAGAGAGATATTCCAAAGGACCGAGCAAGCCACTATAATTGTAAATGTAGTGTCCACCTTCACGCGCAGATCATTGAGGCAAGGGAACCTCCTCTTCCAACGGCCAAATGTGCGCTCAATGACGCACCGCCCTCTTTTGTGGGCAGTATTGTAGCGCACATTTGGCCGTCCTTGAGGACGTAGGAGAGGAGTCAGGAGATAGGGGAGGCACGGGTACCTGAAATTTGAAGATAAAAACAAAAAATTCACTTGTTATTCCTTCCTTAAGGAAATTATAAGTACTATAGATATTCATTTCTTTAATTTACATCATCATAATGATATAATTGTAGAAGAAAGTAATCTAGAATATCAATCTAGCATTCCAAAATAAACTGTCTGCATTGGCTGTGTGAGAAAAATTTCAATTTCTTAAAATTTGTTGTTTAAATTGAAGTGCTTTTCAGTACAAAGTAAAATAATTATCGTGATCCGTTTCTTACTAATGGGCAATTCCACGGTAACGGAATTACATTTCAGAGAAATTTGGGCTCTATTTTGATATACTGTAGACAGGTGGTTAGACCTAGGTGATTATTTATCTTTTTATTCTTTCTGTATTATGCACCTGTTAGCGAATCAAATTTAAAAAAAATATTTTTCAACATTCGGAACACCCCAGGACCAAAAGTGTGTCGGTAACGGAATTACGGCAGAAAAATCAGGTTATTTTTTACACTAACTTTGAAAAGATTTCGTCTGAAATCTGCAGCCAATTGGGGGTGAAGTAATGCTAATAAAGGGAGCTTATATTGTTGACTGTCCCATGGCAAGATTTTTTTTGGTGAAGTTGTCATGGTTTATCTATGCCGAATGGTTTTATGAAAGAAGGTAGCGGTAACGGAATTACATTAATGGTAACGGAATTACGTCTTCTGAAATAAGCTTGAAAAAGGGGGATTTTGTAAACATTATTTAGGCTTAAATTGTTGTTTAATTGTTTCAGGGGTTGCAATAATTGATTTAAACTACAAAGCAATTCATATGTGCACTTCATTTCTAAAAACTGTTGAAAAACGTGTCTTTTATATTGTTAAATAGCAAGTAAATATGACATTTCTGAGCAAATATTGGTGTGTAGTGATTAAATTTATGTCAATATGTGTTATCATATACTAGTTTACAACTAATTTTAATTTGGTTTAGTTTGCAAGTAGGAACATCACACAAAGTATGACAAACTACATATATTATTGCCCATTTGGCGGTAACGGAATTACACATATACAGATCACTTTTGTGACCATACATGACAAACTGGTTGTGAAGTCGCCAAGACCAATTTATAGAAACAGGTCAATAAACTCCACAGTATTCAATAGGAAACAAAGGATATTCAATTGTTTTATTGACTATTGTGAGGGCCTATTAACCTAGCAAATACCACATGCAATACATTATTTCAAAGCTTATTTTATGGAGGTTTGATCAAAATCGATTGAAAATTGCAACATTACAACCTGTTCGTCGTGGATGGTTACATTTAAGCATTCAAACAATTCCAAAACACTTAAGTTATACTAATAACACTGCCTACACCCAACACAGGGATCTTGGTGTAAATTAAAAACAAAACACATGAATATTTATTTATAATGATTTCAGTCCATAAAGCCAACCACCAAAATCTAAACTAATTATATAAAGAGAGCTTAATATAGCTATCATTTTGTCAACAGCGTTTCAATAATATTTCACACCAGAATTTGTAAATCATTCCCCTATCTCATATTTCTGTCGAGCCAATTTTTCAACCTGCTGAGCCAATTTTGCGACATTAATGGTAGAGCCTTAGAGGGAGTACTGGTTATCATTCTTTTAAAATTAATTACAAACCTTGTCAGATGATTCCATACTACAATTTCAATCCACAAAAGCTAGCACCCGATTCAAAACTAATTAATTAAGATAACGTCATCAACAGAGTTGCAATAAAATGTCAAACCTTGTAAATCATTACGCCAATTCAATAAATTGTTATCATTCTTTAATAGTTGGTTATTATTCTTTTAAAATTAATTACATACTTGATCAGTGTTCTTGAATTTGTTACAACATGTAACAAACTTGACCGTTGTCATCATTCCTCATTCCAAACAGTTATATTTTCTCTGAGCGTTAGCGATCTAGTCAAAGGCGCCCTGCCATCCCCCCCCCCCCCCTCCCCTTATGTTTAATACGTAGAGTATGGAAATTAACCGTCTGCAAGAGGGCTAGTCTGCTATGGTCGTAGCCATCTACATGTAACTTCTAATAAAATACATGTTTTTTGATAGATTAGACCTTCCCCTTCAACCTCCACCTTGTCATTTGTTAACGTATTTGCTCTGAGCGCTAGCGGACCTGTACAGTAAGTTACCCTGACACCTTCCCTCAGTCCAATATGTTTTACGTGTTACGAGTCGGCAAAGTAACCGTCTGCAACGGGACTAGTCCGGTACCTGCCAAAGCCTTTTTACTTTTTATTAAATATTTTTCGCTAGATTAGACCTTGCTTTTTCAACCTCCACCTACATATAGTCATCGGGAAAGGTATTTTGTCTGTGTGCTAGCGGACTGATTCAAAGTCACCCCTCCCCCCCCCCCCTCCAATAGCCCCATCCATATAACGAAAGTGTCCGTCTGCAAGAAGACTAGTCCACTATGGTCTTTTATAGCCATCTAACTTTTAATGAATTATCCTTTTTTTGTTTTGGTAATTTACATGTATTGTAGACCTTGCTTTCCAACCTCCACCTAGCTGTTTTTTAGGGTGTTTTCGTGGGGTATTTTCTTTGAGTGCTAGCGGACATCGTCAAAGTCACCCTGTCCCCCCCCCCCTTTCCCTTTACAAGTCCCATATGTATAATACGTAGAGTAGGGAAATTCACAGTCTGCAAGAGGGCTAGTGCGCTATGGTCTTAGCTTTCTAACTTCTAATGAAATTTTTCTTTCTTTTTTCGATAGATTAGATGAGATCAGTGAAAAATAAAAATCAGAAAAGGCACTGTTTAAAATCGCCATAGGTGAAATAATATGAAGTATTTCCATGCTTAAATCAAAAGGTTTCATAAGAGATGTTGGTACAATTTTAATTGCAAGTTCAGAGTGAATGAAAATAAACACATCTAAAATTCCCAGCCTAGTTTGTAGTCTTTATGCAAATTTGAAAAAAGTTTTTAAAAAACATTCATTGAATTTATTGAAGCCAGATCCTTAGTCTTTAGTTAGACAGTTAATATAATAAGCCACTACTTAAAAAAAGGGGCAAAATCCATTAAAAATGTTGTAACACAGCATACATTATATGTACATGAGGCAGCAGGTCCATCTCTTGAAAAACGAACCACTCATTACTAATGCTGCTACCCCTTGTAATTATGTTACCAATGTAATTCCGTTACCATGTAATTCCGTTACCAGTGTTTTGATAGGAAAATAAGTAGATACTTCTGAAATTAATGTTTAGGGCTGTTGGTAGGTAGATAAAGGAAGAGAATTTGCAACTTCGAAAAAAAAAAGTAAAAAATAACTTTGTGAGTAAAACTTCTTTCAAATTTTGGTAACGGAATTACGCCATTTTAAGGGTAAAATTGAAAAATCTCTCACACAAATTTTTTTTTCATTTTTTGAAAATAATTTACAAATCTTGATTCCTATTTGTGATGTTGTTCAATTAGGAATAAATATAGAGGAATAAGTTTTAAATACATTGCTCCACTGAATTTTAAGAAATTAAATCATGATCATGTGATTGTGGCCCCCAAAATAGCCCCAACTTCAAATAAATTTTTCAGAAAAACCGTAAAAGATATTTCAAAACGGTTTTCAGTTCTGTCACAAGTGATTTCTTGACTACATGGAAAATGTTAAATTATTGAAGTTGGATCAAATTAAGAATTTGGTGATTTTCCTCTTTCCCATACGGAATTGCCCTAATGCCTGCAAGAATAGGTCCAAATCTATCCAAATGTCTCAATTTCCGCAACACTACTGCTTACTCAAAATAACAAGTATGCATTTAATAATTCAAGAAAGAATGGTCAATCTAAATTTTCATTAAACGGTATCTTTATCCTACAAAGGACTTTTAAAAGAATATGTATCAACATGTACTGCATGTCTGCATTTGTGATTACAATTGGATTACCATTAACAAAACACCAATCCACATACCCACTATCTCCAAGTAGCAACTCAGAACCATCTGCCCTTGCCTCTAGTTGCTCCTTCAGTGTGCACTCTGAGAAAATCCGGGAATCGTGAGTGCTGCCAGGCCATCTTGCCACGATACTTGTCATTTTCCCAGCATGATCACAAACAACCTACCAATAAGTTGAAGAGAAAAACACATCTTAAACTCATACTGAACTTCATAGATAGACTTTAATTTCTTTATTTTCACATGCATTTCATTTCTTACATTTTCATCATATTTTTCCCAAAGTGTAATGTTGTCTAGGCTACTTATTGTAACAAATGTTTGACTCCCAATACAAAATAAAGTAACCAGTGGCGTATCTAGGGGGAGGGGGGAGAGGGGGCAAACAAGGCAAAAGTATTTTTTAAAAATGAAAGTTTAATATGATGAACAATCAAAGAAGCCAACGGGGAAGTTGGAAAAATGGTTGCAAACATTTTGTAAGCTAGCAATAAAGTCAATAAGAAAAAATGTAACTAGTCTTACCTGTACATTCACAGAATACCTGTTCTTCCTGTTCATGAAGTACAGGGCTTGATCCCCACCAGGACTCCTGATGTAGACATGAGTCCCATCGATAGCACCTATGACCCCTGGAAATCCGCAGTACTCGTAGAATTGCTGCTGGGTCGTTTCAATTTCATCTCTCGTTGTTGGAAACTTCATGAATTGCCTCTTCCTTCCTGCAATAGCTTCCGAAACATCTTTGATGATTCTACAAACAGAGGACTGTGATACTGTTGCCTCGTCACCATGCATCTTCTGGAATGATCCTATAATTGAAAATGAGATCAGGTTAATAGAAGATTGTCTGAAAAATATTTTCTAACATTGGAGAAAAATTGCCAAGAAGATCATGTACATGAAAGAAGGTAATGCTCAAGAGAGATTTTTTTATTTTTTTATTAAAAAGGTATATTTTTTCAAGTCAAATTCAGGCTGGTGTTCAATTTTCAATGACCTGTACGAACCCTTTAAAAACGGTGTACGGTTATACACAAGTTTAGTTTAAGAAAAAATTAAGTACTCACCAACGGCATAGAAACGAAGAGCCGTCAAAACCTGCAGATAAACAGGTAGTGGATCATTCCTCTCTGTGTTCCTCTTCAAGTCCCCTTCAAGCATGTTGATGAGGTAGACTACCGTTTCCTTTGAGAAACGGTATCGCAGTTGAAACGCTTCATCCTCGTAAAATTCAAGAGGATTTTTCGCATCCCTTAGACCTCGAATAGGTCTCGGCTGAGGTACCTGTATGCAAAAGATAGATATAGTTTGATGAGATGAGTTGAAATATTCAATAAAAAAGTGCATGTCTAAAGAATGATTTTCATTATAGTCATCTTTCATTCTCTTCCGTACCGTAGGATTGATCTCCCAATTAGGCCTAACTAGGTCAGGGTATTTTGGGAGTTCTTAGAGCTGGGTATTGGCTTCACACCCCCCCCCCCCCCCCCCCCCCCACTCTAGATCATTTGAAGTCAACATTTCTTTTTAAACCATGGCAAAACAGTGAATCATGAAAGATATTCTGTCAACAATCTCAGCAATGACATGATGTAGATTCAACACATTTCTATTCCAGGTCTTCATACTACTCAAACTTGATTCGTAGAATATGAGAGTTCAAATTTCATCAGCAAGATGTAAATATTTAAAAAAATTGATCTAAAGTCTTACTCAAATGGGTATTTGCAAAGAAAAAGGAAGTAGATCTAGGCCTAATGGGTACTGGTACTTGGTGGTATGCGTAACAACATTCATGAACAGTCCTCGTGTCTCTTAAAACCTAAAATTACTAGATCTATCAATTTAGATAGACGTACCCAGTGGCGTAGACAGGTTCGTACACCTGGGGGGATGACTCAGGGGCGGATCTAGCTTTTTGCTAAGGGGGGGGGGGGGGGGGTTGACCAATAATGACGATGCAGAGCATCGCCCACGAGCCGCAAAGCGGCGAGCCGATTTTTTTTGGGGTGTTTAATTTGAACCCCGTAAGTGATGTTTTCCTGGCATCTATTAACACAATGGAGACCATAAAAAGCAGTGCATGATAACGTCTTTTTAAATCAAGTAACAGTTAAATACAGTTATATCCAGAGTTATCATGTGTTTGGTTAAGTTACCAGATGAGTTGAATATCTTCTCACAATATTTGCACTTGAAAGGGTTTCTCTCCAGCGTGCGTTCTTTTTTCTTTTCTTTTTTTTTCCTTTTTTTTTTTTTTTGGGCCGCCCAAGGGAGGGTTTAAACCCCCTAAATCACCCCCCCCCCCCCCCCCCCCCCCGTATATCCGCGCCTGTTTAATCTTGTGATTATCTTGTGGTTTCCAAACCACAAGATAACCACAAAATACTTGTAAGATTTTCTTTTTTTTTACCGTCTGAATTGGCTTTCACCGTGTGAATGCGGCTAATAACAATAAACACAATTACAATAATGATGAGGATTATTATTATCATCATCATAATTATTATTATTATTAATATTATAATTGTTATCATTATAGACTAAGCAAATATCATTCCCAAAACCTGGGGGGGGGGGGATGATTGTACATGCCCCCCCCCCACCCCCCCCCCCCCCCCCCCCCCCCCCCCCCCCCCCCCCCCCCCCCCCGTTGTCTACGCCCCTGGACGTACCCCTTAATTTATTCTTAATTTTAATCAATTAAATTGAACAAGTTATTGACGATTCAATAGAAGAAAGAAAAAAAAATTAATCCTACCTCTCTCACTCTCTGGATGCGGCGAAGGTGATGCAGATAAGCCATTTTTCTTTCTTGTTCAGCAGTTGTCTGTGGAACAATAATGAAATGAAATTGTTAGGAGTCTGAATTACTAAAGGCAACATCTATATTAAAAAAAAATGCATTTATTTCATAGTCTACATTACCATAGAAGTAAAACACAAGCTAATTAACTAACCAAAGTTTATAGATCGTATAAAATGAACCAGCGTAGGTCTACTCGTATCAGATGGGGGGGGGGGGGGGGGGGGGGGGGGGGGGGGGGGGGGGGGGGGGGGGGGGGGTAGTGAGCACTTTAATTCTGTTTTCTTACTCAACACCCCCCCCCCCCCTTCCCTGTTTTTAAATTTTGTTAAGCCCCCCCAAAATTGCATAGATCTAGAGCCTAGATTCTAGATCTAGGTCTATTAATTATTTATTATTAAAGTTAGACCTAGATCTAGACTCTAGATTCTAGGTCTATGAAACTTTTCTACCTCGAAGCAGTTCCCCAAAGTTGACAGCCCTGTCTAGATCTAGATCTAGAAGGTCTAGGCCTATACACAAATGCATACCGTCGGTGGGGTGACAAAACCTTGTACTTTGTAGACCTAGGGTCTATCTCAATTTTTTTAGATTTTGATTTTTTTGCATAATTTTGTAACTAGATCTAGACCTATAGACTCTAAGTATAAATGGCCTAAGGCACCACCTGATAAATCCATGGAACGCCTCCTGTCTCGGCCCGGTTTTCACAAAATTTTTAGGCTAGAGTCTATACAATCATGCCGATGCGGCCGGCTGTAGGCCTAACTGTTCTAGATTTTCTAAGTTTGACAGTAGACCTAGATCTAGAGGTCCCAACAGTAGATCTAGACCTAGATCTACTAACCATGCCAACACTGAAAAAACTAGGCCTAGCCTAGGCCTAGAGGGTCTAGAGTAAAGTACCCGGTAATCGGTCAGCTCCGGTTTTCGGCCAATTGGTTGGATACATGGTAAAATCACTTTAAAATACATCGCATAATAGCATAACACATATCCCACACATACCATACCATGCCAGTGTCACTGAAGAACCACATTTGCAATGAAAAATATATCCTAAAATATCACATTTTAGCGATGTAATCGGCGGTCCCGCTACCCAAATCTGAAAAATCGAGTTTCTTACGCGTGTATGTAAGAAATATGGGTACCATAAAATGAGCTTTATTTCAAGTATTTTTCAGATATAGAGCCCGATTTTGTGCTGGTCGCAAGCTCAAAAGTATCTCATCGCATGTATTAAATCAATGCAGCCGCACACCGCGACGCACACACGATATGTCTGTCTAATTCAGATTCCAACTTCCGATCACCGCTGTGCCTGTATTCGGCCAGGCGAGCACCCGGGAGCTCCCGCGTGGGATACCTGCTCCGCCCGCTTGTGCTATACATCAGCGCAGAAACGCACGGCGCGCGCGAGCGCTTCCTATTGACTTTGTACATGCGGCCGTAAACTGAAACGCTCGGCCGATAACCGGCTCCAAAACAGTGAAAATTGAAATGAATATTGTCATGGCAATTCGTGATTTTTTGGGGGGATTCTTTTTTTGTTTAAATAATAATAATATTTGCTTCATGATTTGAACAAGAAATGATAATAAATAGGAAGTAAAGAGTCCAATAAATAGGATTTTGTCTTAAGTGGCCGAAAACCGGGTACTTTACTCTACTGAAAAACTTGTAAAGTTGTAGGTCTATTTTACTGCTAACGTTTACGTGTCATCAATTGTCACTAAAGTACCGATTTTGAGTGAAATCAGTTTATTTTTGTACAGTTGTGTTTGAAATGTTGTGAATCAATAATAAAACAGGTTTTAATTATACACAGCCAGTGCCAGGATTAGTAGTCTAATGCAGCTATGACTATGTCATGTGTCGAGCGCTGCCACTGCTGCTCATGAGCTGCACTGGGCCGGCCGAAAATGACGGCTCAGCCAACGTAAAAATGAACGAATGGGACTGTATAAAAACAATTCTTGCGATAAAACCCAAGTGAAAAACAACAGTGGCATGGTCTGATTACGAGTGGAATTTATATATTCATCAAATGAACGAGAAATAAATTGCACAAACACATTTGATAACTAGTAAATGAATGTTCCCGACGGAAATACATCGATTTACTTACGATTCGTGTTTTGAATTCTGCCGCACACGATATGATTGACATAAATTTCAGTAAATGTCGTCTGTGATTTTTGTTCAAAAATTTCAGCGCCAATTTCAAGAAGAGCAGACGATGTGGTGTTTGCGCACGCGCGGGGGATTGTACCACTGATTGTACCACTGATTGTACTACACCTCAGGGTAGTACAAAATCTAGACCAAATTATGACGTAGTTAAACCCCCCGGGGGTTTAAACCTGCTTTGTGAATACCAAAATCAGAGGTTTAAACCTCGGAGGGGGGTTTTGTACCACACCCATGGTACAATCCCTCTTTGTACCACTGTTGTGAATTCGGGCCATTATGTTTGCAATGTTATTAAACATGATAGATACATTTTGATGTCCAAAGATTTGCATAGTATACAAAATAGCATCTACCATGGAGAAATTTAAATGTGTACTTTTGCTATGTATGTATCCAATTGAAACAAATGTTTCATCCGATGTATTTAAGGACAGTGAAATAATGTATTGCATGTGATTTGTGGGGTTCCTTTGAATATCTTTTATAACCAATTTAAACAAATCTAGTGTTCAATTCAATGTTTTTAGGGGTCAGTGAACAAGGTGGACACATTTTAAAATTAATATTATGGTTAATCTTTACAAAATAATTATGCAAATGAGTTAAATAAATAATAAAAATCATATTTTTATCAAAATTTGCTATCTGGTGTTATTGCTGTTGCCCATGCCACTGAACAGTAGATTTTACATGATATGCGAATTAGTTTCATCCATAAAAATATCAGAATTTAATAATTTCATCTTGAATTGCATCTGAGTCCCCTCTTACCACAAATCAGGTGAAAGTTACGTTTCAGGATCATGGAACATGGTGAATAATTTTCTGATTTACATTTTCACATACTTTTGACATCAAATTATAACTTTCTATTTTATCACCCTGAGTGAAAACTTTTTTGCATATGGTGCATAAATTACTATTTGAACCAAGTATTCATCATGTTCGGTGACGATGCCAACATCAGTAACATCACTCGAGTTGATTCAGCTGGGATTACAGATGGCAAATTGAGACAAAAATATGAATTTGTATTTCTTTTGATGGAAGCGTATTTGCATGTTTTGAAAGCATTAACCATAATATTGATTTTAAAATGTGTCTTCGTTGTTTATTGACCTCAAAACACTGGATTGAACACTTGATTTATTCAAATTAGTAATTTACAACAATAAAGATAAAATTATGAATTTTAATTTACTTTTGGTTAAAGATTATCTGTGCATTATGCAAATTATATTCACTACAAATATTATGTTTAAGAAGATATGATTACTGGTAGATAAATAGGGTAAATAGGTCAAAGGTCATGGGTTTTAGCATTGTTATTGCAATGTCTCAAGAATGATTTGATCCATGAACTTTAAACTTGGTAAAAGTGTGGATCACTATGCATAGACAAATGAAATATATTTTTGGGTATAAGAAAGTCAAATGTCTAAGATCAATCAATTTACATGAATTTAAAGGTTTATTAACCTTGTAATGGCCAAACCTATGACTATTTTAAGCTAGTTTGCATCACTGTAGGGAGACAAGTGATCACATTTTGGGATTGTCAGGTCAATGACTCAAAGGTCTAAGGTCATAAAGATCATTTGACAATTAATGGCTTTCTTTCTTATCATGATATTCCAATATTCCAACACTTATTCAAGCCAAGAATTTAACAAAATTCAGGCGGAGGCATATTGAAGATGCGCCGTCACACATGTCTTGTTTGTATTTTAGCCTAATATTATTTACGCTAGATCAAGGTGTAATGTTTTTTTGTTTTGTTTTTAAAGATATGTTTGGAGGAGATATTTTTTTAGCCGGCGTTATACAATTATAATGATGCCAAGATTCCCCTAGGATTGACTGAACCTCTCCTAATGAGATCTGCAATAAAGAGATTTCAGCTATTACAAACTAAGTCCAGTGCCCCTAATACAAAGAAAAACATTGTTAATCATTCCCGTTATAAATTAACAGGCAATTTTTCCTGCTCTTCATGTGCACATTTATCGGAGAGGCCGTTACGATTGGCTAAGACAACATCAGTCGTACTCGGAGGTGCATAATGCATTCTTCAGGAGCAGGGGGGAAAAATTATGCACAGGACTCGTTCATGACTGGCTGAAATATTGCATTGTTTATTTATTTTCATTTTTGAACTCCTTTTCTAACTACCTTGCTACATCGGCTATTTTCTGAGTACGCAAACAAAAATGGACATTACTCCATTACGCAAGACGTAGACATGCAAAATGTCCCTTTTCCTTTTTGATTGGACGTTTTTGAGACACTATAACCCCTTTATTGGTCGATTGCTTCCTCCTGATTGGTCCCTTGTTTCAAGTAGCATGCGTGATTGAGATTGAAAGGCCGCTACTGTTCAGCGGTAATTTAAAGGGAGTGTAGCTTGGACAACTGCACGTAAACAAATGGACTTGATTAACGGTAGTCAGCCACTCAATCTCTAGATGGTCAGCGTTCACAAAACAAACCAAAGTTCTCCTTGTGATTCGGTTTCGCATATGTTGCACGCACGTGATTGCTGCAGTCGCGCCGTCCGTAGTCATGTTATACTTGATTGGCCCCAAGTCAGGCCACGGGCAAGGCATGTAGTCTCGTCAGGCTACACTCCCTTCAACATCTTGGTTAAAATACATCAAATGCATTTCCCGATATGATTGACATTTCATTAATCAATCAAATCAAAAGATCAACAATTGCATATATTGATGTTTTGATAGCTTTTGAAAAGTTTATAGCAGAAATGAATTAAAATCTGTCAAAATCTGCAAGATCTTCAACAAATGGTGAAAGACCATTACAGATCTGTGATTATAGATCTAGGTATATTGTGGAGTTAATAATTGTTTTTTTGTAAAAAATTTAGTTCAATAGATATTTTTTTAATTTTTATAGATCTAGCAATTTTCAGAATTTGACGACGAGTGCACAAATCGTAGGTGTAGAACGCCTACGCCCAGGTACCGGCCTCCCTATTCTGGGTATACAAACATTTGCGCATGTCCATTCTTCCTTTTAACCACAAACTACATGAAACTCACTTGCCAGTAGATCATATATATCCTGCAACACTTTGTCTCTTTCTCAGAGCAGTCATCCCAAGGTTGTTTCATAGAAAAAACCCATTTCCTCTTGTCGTTTTGCGTTAAATGCTTTGTAAATGAAATTGTTGTGAATGAATCTGATAGCGAATCTTTGTTGGCTGCTACAGTACCATCACACAGCTGCAGCACAGCTCGCACGCACGCACGCACGCATCTCTGAACGAAGCATGATGCCATTGCGATCGGAACCATGGCGATCGGAACCATGGCTACGGAAACCGTTGTGCATTATTTATTAATATGGACTTACAGTCTTCTGCAGCATGTTGCTTCAGTTTTGTAGTCTAAATGTGCTGGCCCTTTTTGTCTATTCTTCTACATAAATGCACTGAAACTTGATCAGATTGACAAATTAAAATATTATAATTTTCCATCCACTTGGTGTCCATTCAAAATTTAATAGCATATAATTTAACACAAAGCTAACAGCAGTGGTTATCATATATTTTCTAAAAGCAGTCAGTTTAAAGGGCTCTATTAGTAAGGCCTAGCTTGCTTTGGAATTCCCGCATCAGAGAGCTACTTTGGTATTACTAAATTAGACATTGGCAATTTATTAAAGTGCTCTACATCTACTTCTAATTCTATCTCGCCTTAAAGTGTACCAATCACCAAAACAAAACATGCTTTGCTCTTGAGTATAAAGGGGTTCCATGTTTTGTACTGTATTACAAAAAATAGAGCTTCAAATACTACTTCGAGAAAGATCGGGCAGCTAAATACACTTTCAGTAATGACATGTTGAGTAGACAAGTTGATGTATGCATACATGCTTCCAGAGAATAGATTAGCATAAAATTTGCATAAACGATAGACTTGCCAAAATATTGTTGCCACATTCATTATTGTACTAAATTATTTGCACAATGCGACAAGTAAGTTAATTATAAGTACCATTTATTGTCTTCCTCTGGTTCACAACAGATTTAAACATAAGCATTTACAATAACAAAGTCACTTTCAAGAAGCATTCCCATTTTAATATGTTTCATATCTAGTAATTGCATTGAGCAGAACAAACAATCATTTAATATTCAAAATTTGAAGAAAGAATGTTAACCCAATTTTGACATAATTGTAATTTTTTTTCTCTCTTATGTGTTTCTGTGCTGTTAGTCAAAGCAATCATCATTTTTCTCTCTAAGGCCGGATCAAGCTTTACTGTATAATTATAATCTGTACGCATATTTAATGTACCTGTAGAGATAATGATCAAAGTTGTCAGCTATAGGCATCGACTCAAACATCATGGACTACTACTTTCATCCCTTTTGCCACATTAAAAATTTGAGCAATGATATATACAAATAATACATGTTTGCGAGTGCATTAGGGAAAATGCACTTATTGTACATATTGTAAAAATTAATTCACGCACACGTGATCCATTTCGACGCTTATGATTGGCTACATTCTTGAACCTTTTTATAATTTCTTATAGCATATTTATATATTGCCTAAAATGCAGTATCCTTCTGTATCTCGGCCTTATTTTTTTTAAGAATCATGAAATATGGTATACATGGAATTCAATAATTCTAGCTGTGCTGTTATAACTTGTTATATATTTGGTAAAATCATCTTTTGCTATATCTACAAAACAAACAAAAAACAAGGTAAAATATTATGATTTTACATACCAAATTTCAGATACTAATGACTTGTTCTATTATATACACAACTACTTGGCATTGAGGTTTAATGTAATGATTGAACTTGTTATGCAAAAGTAATATCAACAAATACAAATTATTTTGACAAGTACAACCAACATTATCATATTCTAAATCAGTAGTACATACTGCTGTATGCTATCTTTTCATAAATGGAAGCAATTACAAACATTTTTTAACACTTAACTTTGCAGTCTTTCATGCTCAACAGACATGATACAGCATATGTCCCATATTTTCATGTGTTTGTATATACATGATCTGAGACACGCTTCTATAATTGGTATGAAGTTTAATCATTACAAAATACATCACTTATATATACACTTATCATTATTATATATACAAAATGCTGTCATGTATTTATGCAGTTTTACAAAAGCATATTGCTCAAAACTTTCTTAATGCTATTTCTTTTTATCTATTAACTCTCACCTCTGAAATATGAACACCAAACAACATTTACAACAACAACAACAACGACAAA